GCTCACCCAGAACCACCTTTGAGAGTAGTAAAGGTTCATTAATCAGCTGTAAAAAGATGGCAGCTTCTTGGAATACTTCTGCAGAGGGAAAGGCAGTGGGAGAAGCCAGAGGCTTGCTCAAAATACTCGATCTTTAAGACGTGAAACTGCTGAAGAGCCAATGCAGTGGTTCTGCGGTTGGTAAGACTTCAAACCGGAGCAGGGTAGAGTTGTCAGTCCTACCGGCCTCTGGAAAAGGAGGTGTGCTAATGCTGATACCATGAACAAACTGGACTTTAGATGGCTTTTGTTTATTCAGTCTGGTTTTCCTGCAGTTTTAATTGGCTATAGGCATACAAATCCTCCATGGCCATCAATTGTCATAGCACCGTTGACTCCTTGTCTCCTCCTCTGCAAAGTATTGCTATCCACGTCCAGCAGCACTGCTCTGGGTTCCAGGTAATACTGTGCTGCTAAACAGCTCCCAGCTGGGGCTGCATTTCAGTGGAACAGGAAAGCAACGTGTATATGGTGGGTGTGTGTCATTTGAAAATGAATCAGGACGTTGACTTTGCTGCATAATTATCATTAAATTTCCAAGCTGCTGTTCAGTTTTCATTCTTCACAAGAGGAGAATGGAGTCAATAGTTAGGTTTTGGGTCCTGCTCCGGTTCAGTATTGTGGCCAGTCGTGTGTTTCATACAGGTTTTGGGCAGGGAAAAGAGCTGCTGGGTGCCTCGGGCTGTCAGCTGCTTGCCCGATTGGCCTGGGAGCACAGGGGAAGGAAAGACACCCCAAATCCGCTGGCAGCAATGTTGTTCCTGACTGGAAGGAACCTGCACGCTGGTTTGAGGTGGCATCTGGTGTCACAGATGCACAGCAAGTGTTTGCTCAGGACGGTGCTGCCACTGCTTGGTGTCCAGTCCCTTCGCACTGAGTCAGCGTGAGGGAGGTCTGAACCCACATCTTTTCTTCTGCTGGGCAGCACTTGAAGGTTGCGGAGCTAAGATTGATTTGAAGACTGAGCCTTTCTCCATCTGGGTGGGAGGTTTCACAGGCGCATAAGGCGCAGTGAAGAGAGAGCCTAAATGTGATCACAGAATCCCAGAACGTTAGGGATTGGAAGGGACCTCCAAAGCTCATCCAGTCCAATCCCCCTGCCGGAGCAGGAACACCCAGATGAGGTTACACAGGAAGGCGTCCAGGCGGGTTTTGAATGTCTGCAGAGAAGGAGACTCCACAACCTCTCTGGGCAGCCTGGGCCAGGGCTCTGGCACCCTCACTGAGAAGAAGTTTCTTCTCCAATTGAAGTGGAACCTCCTGTGTGGTCCGTAGGTACGTGCAGAGGGAGAACAGATGTAGAGGATACAGAGCAGTTTGGGGAAGTGGAGCGGTGTGCTCCGAGTTACCCGTCCAGACACTTGGCTAACTTGACTTTGACAGCCAGCGAGGCCCAAATGGTGTCCTTGGTCAAGAGCGGCAAGTGCTGAGCTATATGGGAAACCAGTCTCTGGGTTCGATAGACTTTTCTTGTTAAGAAACCCCAGGACGTTCTTGTGCTCTTGTGACAAACGTGCAGAATTTGCAACGTTTGTTTCGTTAACCTTCGAGTCGTTAAAATCCGTGCCACTGTTTTATATGGGAAGGTAGAGTTTTGTATGCAGTGAACACCTGGGTTGGAAGTAAATGCTAATAAACTTGTTTTACCCAAGACATTCGTCTGTTTGAATGTGCCAGGAATGCAGACAAATAACTGCTTGTGATCACAGTAATTTGTTTCTTTAATTATGGAAATGTTGTTCAGGTGGGTTTTCAAATATTTTCATAGCTACCTATGGGTCCAGTGCCTCTTCACAGATGACTTTATTAGTCGAGATCCTAACAAAATGGGGCTAAGCAATCAAACTTGGTCTGCCAGCATAGCAACCTCTACTGTGGTGACTGTGCATGGTCAAACTGTCCTTGCAGTGGATGAAACTGATATTTTATGCCTTAAAGTGATCCTGTGTTACATCACTATGAAAATCTGTCTTGTGTTCAAGGTACCACTTGCTTAAATGCTGCTGATCTTTTTAAACTGGTGTAGTTATCAGTGTCAAACAGTGTGGGCAGTCATTAGGGTAGCAGCCAACCCAGTACCAACACAGTTCAGACATTTGGCACGTAATGATTTGGTTTGGATGTTTTTCTTACAAAATCACGTTGGAAGGGAGTGCAATGAAAGCCGTGGGACTGTAGGACACCGCTTTGTCCACAGGATCCCTGGTAGGAAAGAAATGACCTGACCTGATTATTTCTTTTTAGTTGATTTCAGTGAGACCAGTGCAACTTTACATAGGCACGTTCAGTCAAAGTTCAGCTGGCAGGGCTGTCATCTAAGGAGGTTTTTGGTAACCAAAATGTGCTTTATTAAGTACCCAGCATCATCTTCTTCTCTATCTTCCATGTGTAAAAAGTCACTAAAGCTTGTGTTGCATTTTCTACCGTACTTCTGAAAACACTGTCAGCATTTTTTCAGCCGTTACAGGACTTTTACTTCCAGGATTATTTAAATGAAGTCATTAACCATCAGCTCCTCCGATTCTCTAGCTCCTAAGTAACTGCTTGTCCCACGGGCAGTTCTCAGCTGCATGGTGCCATTGCTGGGCCTTGCCCCAGCCCCCCAGTAAATAAATAAATACATCAAATTCCAATGGATCAAATCTTGTCACTTTAAGAGTTAAGCTGACTTTCAGAAAGTAACAGAAAAGCTTCCTGACCTCACAGGAAGATCTGCAAACTGTTCATGGTGGGGAAAGCCTTGTGCTTGTACAGACTGCCATTTTCCGCGTTGTGTTACTGACAGAGCGCAGTGAAACCACACTTCGGGTGCTTCATCTGCACCTCGCCAGCCTCGGCTTCCCTTGTGCCTCATACCCTGCGCTTCATCTCAGCTTTTGGGTTTGACTCTTGCAGTTATCTCCAAAAGGGAATTTCAGTTCATCATCAAGACTAGTTTTCACTTCAGTTTGAGATGTAAAGCATCCTTCTGCGATAGCAGAGCTGTCCCTGTGCTTTGTGGAGATGCTCCTCCTCGGTGGCTCTGCCTTTCCCCCCTGGAAGGTGATTGCAGGCAATAGCCTTGTGCTAATTGCATCTCATCATCCAGCTTTTCTCTCCTATGCATAGCCTGTAAAGTGCACTTGTCAGGCCAGTTCTGGAGTCATCCTGGTTTCAAATACCTCGTTAGAGGAGCTGCTCATCGCTCCCCTTGCAAATCAGGTCTGTCTCTCACAAATGTTTACTTCTCAGATGTACAAGGGGAAGCTTCCCCCAGCACCAGCGCTGCAGTGCTGTGCAGCTGTGGTTCAGATCTACTGCTCTGGTGTACAAATACACGTTAAATCCGTGTCGTTCCAGCCTCTCTAGGTGTGCTCGGTATCCGTGTGGCCTTGGGCCGCCGTGGGGTTGACCACGTCCCCTACCAAATGCTTCCTCTCCTCTGTTGCTGGCAGGAAGGGGAGAGCTGCCAGTCCCTTTTTGCCGTAGCCATCTTCAGATAGATGAAACCTGAGTCTGTCGGCCTCATCCCTTTCCAGAATAGGACGTTTGCCAACAGTGATGGGAGAGGTAGCAAATGAGAAAGGAAGGAGCGAAAACTGTGACTGATGTAGTGGGGAGCAACAGATGCCATGTGGAACATTGAGATGTACTCAATAAGCGTTTTCTACAAACATTTTCATGCTGATGTAACTTAGTTATGGGGTGTGAGGTACGAGCATATGAGAGAGTGAGTGAGTCGAAGCTCTGAAGCATTTCAGACAGATGGAACTTTGCGGCTGAAGACAATTTATGTGGAATTACAGGCTAGTGGTGTTCACAGCTTAATGACTCTGCTTTAACAGTGATTTTATGTTATAATTGAAGAGATGTGGTGAGAAGGAAAGAAGGAGCTGGGTTACAGGAAGCGAGGGAAGTGAAGGCCAAGAGCTGCTGCTGTTGTGTGTGTCCTCCAGAAAGAGCCAGAGCTCGGTATGGAGACCTGCGGGTTACTCCGCTCCGGTGGTACAACCTGAGCTGGCACTGCTGGCCAACGCAGACTTCCCTGAGTGCTTTATTAAAGGCAATATCACAATAAATGAATCCGAAAAGGCGCTTTGACATCTGTATTACAGACCATATTAAAGTGGGTACTTATCTAGAACAGAATGAAGCTGTGTCTGAATCAGCACAGAGTATTTGATATTCAGCAGCAGCAAAACAAAAACCCTGCTGTAATGCATGGTCTTTATTTTCCAAACAGGCTTTTAGCACTTGAAGCAGAGTTCAATTACTCAGAGTACTGCCCTTTGGATGAAGGAAAACTGGTTTATTTGCAATGTACTCACCTTGCCAGAATGCCTTGTTCATAGCTTGCTGTTCCTTGTCTTTCCTTTCTGAGGTATTTGATGTGTTTTAGTACTCAGGGATCGCTCCTCACCTCAGTGTTAACTGTTTGCTGAGCACCTCTTGCTCCTCGTCCCGTCAAACTTGAAATTAATAAATCAAATCCCATTTTTGCAAACCCGGTTATTGTCAAATGCTTTTCACTTGGGGTCTGTATCAATGGAAATGGAAAATCCAATGGTTTAATCTGAAGTCCAAGCCTGTACACAGTCAATTGGCCACATCTCTAGTGGCAGAAACTTCCTGTTCTCCAGACTGCTTGAGTTATCCCTTTTGTTATGTTTGTTTTGTTAAATTTACGGAAATTATTTGGGATATTTTGGCACTGTCACCATTTTGGTAGCACTTCATAGACATTTTTCCGTGGACAAGATGGCTCTCAGTAACATCAGCACGAGTCAGATAACGTGGTGTGTATTCCCCAAGTGCGTTGCTTTCCAGTCTTCATGTCAGTGTCAGACTAACTCGCCTTTATCACTCATACATTTTATAAATTAAGGTTTTCCTCAGATGTGTCAGAAGTATAAATGACAGCAAGAGTTTCCTTGGTTGCTGAAGTTACTGCTTTATGTACATCCTGTGGTTTGAACTTCCAGCTGGGCGATGTTTACACTGCAGTTCTGTATCTGTCATCCCTAACAGAAAGGGCCATTGCCAGGCACGAAGTCAGAGAAATAGAGCAGCGTCACACAGCGGATGGCCCCCGACAAGACGTGGCGCTGGATGAGGAAGATGACGTGGTGATCATTTACAACAGAGTTCCTAAGACTGCCAGCACGTCCTTCACAAATATCGCCTATGATCTGTGTGCAAGGAACAAGTATCATGTCCTCCACATCAATACAACCAAAAACAATCCCGTCATGTCTCTGCAAGACCAGGTAAGCCCCTGCCTTTGGGGTGTCTTTATTAATCAAGGGGAAAGGAGAGAAAACGTTTTTAGCATTGCAAGCTTCAGTGGTCCCATGGAATTTGCTTTTATGTCACATTTTCCAACATGGATGAACTGTAATGTGTTTCTCTTTTCTTTGTAGAGAATTACTGTTATTTATTAAATCACAGGTTTAGGTTTGTCTGAGCTGCTGGAGTTGGGGTGTATCTTCTTGTTGGACAAAAACAGAGCTAAGATGGGACACAGCTAGGGCTGGAAATCACCTTTCCTGTTAGAGCTGTACAAGTGTAGTGCTCTGTCAACTGCCTGCCTTTTGGCTGTGTGATTGCCTGCCATCTCCATCTGCAGTGAAGGAAGTCTTCATTGCTCCTGTCTCTCAGTGCCGTGCTGTGAGGGTGATACTCCTGGTTTTGGTACTGGGTCTGGGCAGGTCTCACAGGTGCTAAAAATCGGGTAGAAAGAAGTGTTTGTCCGTAGCCTGCACTGCAAAGGATGGGTCCCACTGCAGCCATTTAAATCTCTCACTAAAATCAGTGTAGTCCCAGGCTAGAAATGATCATGGCTACCATGGCATCAGATCATAAGTGTTAAAAAGAAAGATGATGGAGGACCAATGCTCTGCTTTTTTTGGGGTGGGGTGTGGTAAGGGAGTAGGATTTTTTCTTTCATTTCTTAAAATAATATTTATTTGCTTGTCATGGGCACACGTGCAAGGAGCTAAGGTCAGAAGCATCCCTGTGTCATCATCCCTGTCCATACACCAGCTGTCTCCATACCCTTGAGTGGGTACTGCTGGGTGTACGCTGATCCTCTGCAGTCCATGCAGCAGAGGCAGGAGCCGTTCTGCACTGCGGGGGGGTGCAGGAGGGGAGGGAGCCGTTCTGCACTGCAGGGTGTCAGTGCTGAGGCTCCCTGCCCACAGGCAGACACAGCACAGCTGCTGCAGTGGGGCGAGGGAGAGCAGAGGGCAGGGGCCCTCCACTGCCGGCTCCGTATGGGGGAGAAAGATCGGGGTGGGGATCTCTCTGTGCAGGGGACACCACGAGTACTTGGGGTGGGACTGGGAACCAGTCCTGTGATAGCAGAGTTGTGTTACTGGTGGGTCCTGGCCGTTGTGAAATCTTTTCCTAAATATGAAGGTGATATTGTCATTTGTGATTACTGAGATTACCAGGAGTAAATCTGGTAGCCACTGTGTAGAACAAGTACTGAAGACCTATGCACCAACAGCAGAATGATTTTCCAAAAGATTTAACAAGCTTATATCTGTCAATTAAGAATCCTGTTCCAGTCGCTCATACTCAGCGCTGCACTTCCAAACACAGATTGTTCCTGTCAAGGTGTCTCTTTGAATTGTCGTGGTCTGTCCTGAGGGACAGGAGAGCTCGCTATTGATGGTGTCAATTAAACACAGGCAACCTTGCCTTAAATTTCTACTTTTGTTTGACTTTCATTCAAGTCAAATTTGTGCTTTACTGGCTTAGTTTTGTCTAAGAGAACTCATCCTCCTTACCTCCCCTCTGATGATGTGCTACTGAAAAATGAAAATCCATCCATGCTGGGCACGTGTGCAATAGCACTGTGGTGATACGATAGCACCACGTTGATGTGGTACGTGATGCTAACCTCGTGAGGTGCAACACGGCCACGTGCAGGGCCCTGCGCCTGGGTCGGGGCAGTCCTTGGTACCAGTGCAGGCTGGGGGTGATGTGATAGAGAGAGCCCTGAGGAAAAGGACTGGGGGCACTGGTGGATGAGAAGCTGGACATGAGCCACCAATGTGCATCTGCAGCCCAGAAACCAACCCCATCCTGGGCTGCATCACAACAAGTGTGGGCAGCAGATGGAGAGAGGGGATTCTGCCCCTCTGCTCTGCTCTGGTGAGACCCCACCTGGATACTGCGTCCAGTTCTGGGGCCCTCAACATAAGAAGCCATGGAGCTGTTGGAGCGGGTCCAGAGGAGGCCACAGAGATGATCCAAGGGCTGGAGCAGCTCTGCTATGGGGACAGCTGAGAGAGTTGGGGTTGTTCAGCCTGGAGGAGAGAAGGCTCTGGGGGAACCTTATAGCGACCTTCCAGGACCTGAAAGGTGCCCATAAGAAATCTGGGAAGAGCTGTTCACTGGGGCATGGAGCAATAGGACGAGGGGTGATGGTTTTAAACTGGAAAAGGGGAGATTTAGGTTGGGTATGAGGAAAAAGTTCTTCAGTATGAGGGTGGCAGATCATTGGAACAAGTTGCCCAGAGGTGGTGCAGGCCCCATCCCTGGAGATGTTCAAGGCCAGGCTTGATGGGCTCTGAGCAACCTGATCTGGTACCAGTGTCCCTGCTCACTGCAGGGTTGGGCTGGATCAGCTGTAAAGGTCCCTTCCAACCCAACTCTTTCTGTGATTCTGTTGTCCAAAGTGGTAAATTCATTGTTTAATTAGACAGTTGATATTCCTTCAGTGGCCTTTAAGTGAGAGATGCTGACAATGGAAAACTTTATCTATTGCATAGTTGTTCAAAGAAGAAATAATTATTTATCCATAGCATATCAAAATAGCAACTTGCCATTGTAAGTCATGTAACAGTTCTGGAGATGGCGAGGGTGCAGAGTTGTAGCTGATTTAGGTTTACTTTGTGTGGGCTTGGATGTGCATGAAGTGGTCACTTGCCACTTCACCAGTGTAGCTGACTCGAGCCATGAGGTGTATGAAATATGTGAATGTGCCACAGAGACAGAATTGCTGTGTCAGAGATGCTGTTTGCTAAAACAAATATTCCTAAGCAGGGTGAAGATTGTCTTGGGCCTGACATAAACGTGTAAGCCCTCTGCTGTGCACTACTTCAGCTCGACTTTTCCCAAACTATTCTAATTCTGTGACAGATTTTAAGTTCTTTACCCATTTGTGAGACCTTTACTTCTTGAATGCAGTCTGAAAAAGAACCATGGGAAGTCCACTCCAAATAAGATAATGCGATACGAGTTCCTGGCGCATCCATGTGAGTTTCAGGTGGATCTTGTCCCAGCAGCCCCTCAGGCAGCAGGGCCCTTTCACCACAGGTTGGGCCTCTCCTTTGCAGCGAGCTCAGCGCTGTGCTGCCCGTGTTACATTTCTGAGCGGTGTGGTCTGTAACAAACCCATGTGCTTTCATTAAACCAGAACAGCTTTTGGTTGGATTTCATCTGTTGCTTGGGTGTTCCAGTCATGATACTTTTTAGCCCTATAAGTACGCCTTTGGTATGGCTGTTTGGATGGCATACCAGTCACACAGACTGCTTTGCTACATAGTGAAATTGTCATCTAAAACATTTAAAAGGAAATCACTGTTCTGTCTTGCACGTATTCTTGATAGATTACCAGAAAAATGACATTCTCTGTGCTGTTGTTGTGAACATATAAAGACCATGGTACAATTATCCAGCGTTCCCTACCTCTCCTTGCTGTTTTCTGTGCCTTGTTTTTTCTCCTGCAGTTTCTCTCTCCACTTTTCTCAACCTGAACGCATAACACAATCTTCCGTCCAAAGGTGTTCTAAAGCAGTGGCTTCTCAGAGGACAGCACACCCGTACTGACTTCAGCAGCACTTATGTCCTCTGCTGGTGAAGGTTGCAGTGACTCTGTCAGAGGTGGAAGTGCTGTCCTGTGCTCCTGAACATGGAGGAGTTGTTATCGTGGCGTCAGATGGCCCAGTGGTGACCACTGCTGTGTGTGTGCTGACTGTGCACTTCCCTCTGAGCAGGACTGTTTGAGGCAGGTATCCAGGCTGGGCCATGCCTGGACTGCTGAGCTCTTGGCTTTTCACCATCTCACAGAATTGCTCTTGGCTGCCCTTGCCTTGAGCTTGCTCGTGGCATGCCAAAGGTGTGCTGCCAGCCTGCTCCTGACCCTCTGATTTAGAGCTATGAGTTATTAGCTTGTGTGACAAATTACCAGTGCCTTCCCGCAGAGGGATTCTGGTTCAGTCATCATTGGTCTTTAAATCTGAATCTGAAATACCCTTTAATGAGGACATCGTGTTGGTCTTCAGTCTTACCTGAGAGCCATTTTTTGGTAGTTCAAATGGAAAATCCTCATGTGTCCTCACCAGGCTGGGCTTGTGATATTCATCCCCCCAGTTATTTGTAATTTTAAGTCAGTTATTCAGCAGTCCACAAACAAAACTAGACTATAATGATACGAAAAGCTGGGGCTTTTTTGGTATCCAAAAGTCCACGTGATATCGGGCCACAGGGTAACGACCACACCGTGTTTTGGGAGCAGAGGGGGTGTGTGTGTGGGTCTGTGTGTGTGTGTTCAGGCTGTGCAGAAGAGGGATTGATGGAAGCGGTGGGCAGAGGTGACAGCTTGTACCATCGCTCTGGTTTGCACACTCAGATTTCCCAGGGCTTTCTGCTCAGACCAAGCTGGTTTGGTTTGGTGGGGTTTTTATTTTCCCTTTTGGCTCACTGGGACTTGTTTTAAATTCTTGCCGTCCTAGAAACCGAATGTGTTTAACTTACCTTCCAGGACATCTTACGCCCCCAGAGTACGTTTGATCTGGCTTTTTAATGCAGTGAAGCTCAGCTGATTTCTCACTTACTAAAGGCTGTGAAGCATCTTTGTAGCTGATTTTATAAAAGCACCATCAAACAACTTCACAGGAATTCCATTCACGTCTATCTGAACTTCTAAAGTAACCTCAAATTTTGTTCAGTCGAGTTCAGATGGGGAAGCTTGCTCCGTCTCTTGAAAGCTCCGCTATCTGCTAAGCCCTAAAAAGCCAGGTAAAATTGATCGTATTTAACAGTATGGAGCAGGAAGCAATGTTCGTCTCTGCCCTAAAATGTGTCAACCCAGACTCATTAGGCTGGCTGCGACCTGGAACAATTCTGGTTTTTGCAGTGCTGTGACTGGGGGGTGTGTGAAATCATCTGCGTCCTGCAGGCTGCTTAGAGGTGTTAAGCACCTCCGTTCTCAGGGGCGCAGCACATTGCTGGTCCCTATTAAGGCAGACGTAAATGTCACAGCCCTCTTACAAAGCCTTCCTAGCCTTCCCTTAGCTTGCCTGGTGTTAATACAAAGCCAGAGCATCCGTCCTGCATTCATAAAAGTTATTTCTTTAGCAGAAAACATTGTAAGACAAAGCCAATAAAGAATTGTTTGACTGTTACTGGAACGTCTAAGGTTTGGTGGAGGTGGAGATCCAAGACAGAGCTGACCCTTGGGCCTGTGCACTTCACGTTTCCCTGTGCCTGGTCCTAGTCCGTTAGAAACAGATCCAGCTGCTCCGAGATTGCAAAGCTTGCTTTAATACGTGTGCTGCACTGCACGCCATAGGTGGCATCACTGGTTTACTTGTGTCGACCAACTGTGACATCTGGGGATTTGGGGTGAGGGAAGGGAGGATTAGATACACTCTGCATGTAGGAAACTTCTCTCCCAGGTGCAGAAATATTCATAGCTGAGGTTGTCCACTGAAAATACCTTCTCGTTAATCTTTGAAAGGCACAGTCAATGAAAGTCTCTTTAGTTTCAGCAGCAGTGAAGGTAGTTTGGCTGGATTCAAAGTCTCACAGATAGATTATCAGTGTGTGCTTTGGACAAGACCAGACAAAGCCAGTACAGTTTATGAAGCACCATTGCCACACTTTGTGTGTGCAGTGTATGGCTTAAATCGTGAAATGCCACAGACTGTGAGACTTGTACACTGAAAAAATTAATGCTGTCTGGTTAAAGAGTGATATCCATTTCTTTTACCTGAGAGTCCAAGAGCCTGAAGAAATAAGTTGTCGAGGATTAACCCCAGCCAGCAACTGCGCATCACCCGGCTGCTGGCTTAAACAGCCCAGGTGGGATGGGGGCGAGAAGGGGAAGGGTGAAAGTGAGAAGACTCATGAATCGAGACAAAAGAAAGCAAAAGCCACGTGTGCAAGCAAATCTAACCGAGGAATTAATTCACTGCTTCCCATCGCAGGCTCCAGGGCTCCGTCACATGTAACGGGCCCTTGGGAAGACAAACGCCCTAACTCCCAATGTCCCCTCTGGCTCCTTCCTTCCCCAGCCGTGTAAGCTGAGCATGACATGGTACGGTGTGGAACGGGCCTTTGGTTGGCTTGGGTCAGCTGTGTCACTCCTCGTGCGCCCCCAGCCCCCTTGCTGCTGGGGTGGCCTTGCCTCTGGGTAAGCGCTGCTGAGCAGGAACTAAAACATCCCTGTGTTATCAGCGCTGTTTGCAGCACAGATCCAGCACACAGCCCCATGCCGGCGGCTATGAAGAAAATCACCTCCATCCCAGCCAAAAGCAGCACATAAGTAAAGGTTATCAGCCTTTCAAATCCTAGGCTGTGCATTTTGCACGTTGGAAGAAACAGCAGCAGGACAGCCTTGCCTCTGAAAACCCTCAGTTGGTTGGGTCTGACAAATACTAAATACTGTGATTCAGGACACTCTCAATCCATTAGACCTTAGAGTGTTGGTGTGTTGTCTGGAGCTCCCAAAACTCTCCCTTTTTGACTCTTGTCTCACCTCAGGATCTTCGTGGTTATCTGTGTCCCTGTATAACAGAAAAGATATTGTACGTGTGCAGGGAGTGCTGTCTTCTAATTCTCAGCTTCAGAAATGGCCTAGCATTGTCAGACAGCTCAGGCAGTGCAAATTTATCATCTTGTCTTTATTATCCAGTGCACTGGTTTTGAAATAATAACTTTCAGAGTTAAATGCTTTGATGTTAAAATATTCTGTTCATCTAATAAAGCCAAGCTGCATCAGGATTTGCATGTCCTACTTAATTTGATCGTACTTTCTGGTTTGAGGCTTGTATCTTACATTGTTCTTATCTTTGAAATGTAAAGCCATTTCTGGTTTTGTGACGTTTGCTGATAACTGCCCTTGTTTAAGGGCTGTGTCGTGCTTTGACATGGCCATTTCACTGAGATGTTAGGCTAAAGGTGCCTATCCAACATGGTAAACTTTCGATCTGGTCTACACTGAACGCATTTATAAAATGTCTGCATTACTCACGTGTTGCATTTTGGGATGGGAGAGCAAACGAACCATCAGATTTCTGTCTTATGTCCTGGTGACATGTCCTAAGAGCATCCTTGTAAATCTGATGCCTTTTATCTGCGGGACCAAACGCAGCTCGGACAGCTCCATCAAGGATGTACTTGTATTTCTGGTTACTGCTGGGGGAGCTCCACATCCCTTCGAAATGACGACTGAAAATGTAAATGTTTGCTTTGCTCGTGTTTCTGTGGTGGCTCTCCTGGATTCGCCCGTCTGGTCGCTGTGTTCTGCTTGTGTTTAGTTTCTGATCGTTGAATTGTGATGACCTAAAAGGAGTTATCTGTGTGCTTGCAGAAAAGTCTGTTTTAGGCAGAAATCCTTTGGTAATATTCGAAATAGGCTTTTTTAATTCTAAAGCATTGTCAGATGTTACTGACAAACAGAAAACCCCATGGATGGGAAGCGTAATGTGTCCCAGCTGCCTGAAATCCTTTCTGCTCTCTGCCTTCACAGGTCCGGTTTGTGAAGAACGTGACTTTGTGGAAGGAGATGAAACCAGGATTTTACCACGGACACATTTCTTATTTGGACTTTGCGAAGTACGTTCCCGTGGGCTTCTCTGTTGAGTAGCGTGATGGGTCAGGTCGGCTGGGTCCAGCTGGGACTTCAGTGCCCTCTGGTGATCCACGTCTGGCAGCTGTCGCTCTGAAAAGTCCCCGCGCGGAAATTCCTGTGATGAGCAATATTTGGGTTTGGTTTTCAGTTTTCTTTTGTCTTTTTGCATGATAAAATGCAGCCGAGTCTTATTTCAAAACTATTCCCACGCTAGGTTTACTATTCCTGGATTATAAGCTGCTTGGACTGAAAATCCTGACTTTTCTGTGGAGCGCTGGCAGTTCTGCCTTAAGATTGGCTTCCCATTCTATACCGTTTAAGACACCTATTGCCAATGTTTCCTATAACAAGTCATACCACCTGCCTCTGGAGTTACGTAGTTCTCGATCAGAGCGTCCCTTTGCACTTTGTCAAAATATTAGAAGTGATATTTTAAAGCCATTTCTGGCCTGTGATAAGGCTTACGAGGCAGTGCTTCCTCTGGCTCTTGCAGCATGCGGAAAATGACTTAAAATTCAAAGTGGGTTTTTCAGATCTCAGCGTATTCGGCTGCACAAACAAGAGCAACCGCTGCCTTTATCTCCTGCTGCTCGTCACTCCTCAGCAGTGTTCCGTTTGTGTGCATTGAAACATTCATTTAATGAGATTAGTTTGTTGTAGGTAAGAATCTCTTTTGTTTAGTCATTGCTTTTAATTATTCATTCTGTTACGTACACGGATTTTTAATTCCAGCTTTTTATTACAAGGAGTGAGAGGGAAAAGGGAGCACCTCACAGATTCTCAGTACGCAGTATAACAGAAAGTGCTGAGAGCTGCCATAGTAGCTGGACATTACCAACGGCACCAAAGAAAAGCTCAAAGTTTATGGAAGTAGCAGGGCAGAAGTCTTAACCGCAAATAAATCAATACGATAATAAACAAAACGTTTATTTTATCAATCATTAGCTTACTTTCTGCCTTCTGAAAGTTAAAATGCTGCGTTATTAATGAACCCTTGAACGGAATACCAGCTTTCTGGAACAGCAAAGGGGAATGTTCCTTTAGGTATTACTCACTTCATAAAGTCATAAAGCTGAAAACGTTCAGATACTGAACAAAACCCAAATAGTGACTTTACACTAGAAAGCATCTGGGCAGCTTCACAGGTTTCTTTCATCTGCACCCTCACTCCAGGTTTGTGTTTGTTCTTTGTTATCCTTTCACTCCAGTGATTCATTGTTTTCCCACAACCGCTTGCTCTCTCACGCTTTGGGTTTCCACTGTTAAAATAATATCTGAGTACTCTGGTTGTGCTTGGCAAGGCCCACCCTTCAGAGGTGTGAGGTGTGTTCTTGTAGTTGAGAAGCACGAGGTATTTCAGAAAACTCTGTGCCTGCTTGGATGCAGACACCAGACTGTCCCCAGTCCAATATCAGAGGTACCTCTGAATTACGCTGAAGCCTTGACACTGGATTCAGTCGATGCCTTGCAGTTCTGATGACGGGTTATCAAAACCCATCCACTTTGAAATTACAGTAATAAAAGTTTAGTGGTTTTTTCCTTTTAAAACAAACCAAATTCTGCTCCACCCTATTCCCTATTTTCTCTGGCGAACAGTTGCATAATAAGTTTTTTGACAACAGAGCTGCCAAATCATTAATTACTAATAAAGTTACAGCAGGAACTGGCTTATGTTGTAGCTGAAGCTAGTTTTGTGAGGCCACTGGCAAATCCCTATGAAGGCACAATCCAGCACAAGCACTTCCAAGGGCTCTGATACCTGCATTTGACCCACAGGTACATGGCAGTGGTTGAGGCTGGTGCTGCACCAAAACAGCGTGTTACAGCCTCCTGCAGCGGAGTCTGTGCAAGGGCACACACGTGCACGTTCAGGGGACCTGCAGGAGGGCGCAGTTCAGAGCCTGGACCCTGCATGCCCGTGGTCCAGACATCCACACACTCCTGTTGCGGGCTTTGAGGAGTGCAGGGAGATGCTGCAGCCCGATTCACTGCTGCTCTGCTGCCAGCAGCTGGAGGATCAGTTGCTCTTTCTGCAGCCTGTAACAGTTTCTCTATCTGCAGTGCTGGTGTTTGGCCAAAGTATTGCTTTTGAGTTGTTGGTTGGTTCATTTCTGGGGTCGGTTCTGGGGGTTTGGTTTGGTTTGGGTTTTTTGTAGCGTCTTCTTTTCTGCTGCTTATTCCATGTTTCTGTTCGTAAGCTTTTCAAGTTAAGATTCCTCCTCTGAGCAGTGCCTGGTACTGTAGTTTACAGAGTGCCACTTCAACAGTAATGGTACTGCATCCTAGAACTCTCAGTGCTCTCTGTTTCAGCCAAGCTAGGGGCCTTGACTGCCCCCCGTCAATGGCAAACCCTTTTCCAGTTTGTATGGGAACAGAAGAGCATTTTTTCTCCAGCTCCCGGCTTTACTTCAGGGCACTTGACAGACTTGCAGTTTCTATTGTGGTCGAACCTCTTTAATGTGTTTATTTTCCACAGTCATGTCTCAGATGGAAAGGAAAATAGATCTGAGAAATGTATGGTAAAAGCTGTCTTGAAGGTCGATCACTGGGAGATGGCATTTGCACAAAACGCTTTTGGTGGCTTAAACCTTTCCCGTGTGTCCCATGAGTGACCACCTCACTCATCCAGCTCCCTGTGTGTACCACAGTAACTGGAAGTTTGCTCGGGGTGAATGTCTCAGGAAAACGTTGTTATCTCTAGATGAGAAGTTGATGCAGTTACAGATACTGCCCTAGGCTTATGTTTAATAGGCACATGGGCTCAGCCCAGCGTGGGCTCTGAGCTCTGCCTTCCCGGTGTTAGAGCTCTTGTCTCTGGCAGCTGCCAGGAGACCCCTTGCAGCACCACAGCGCGGTGCAGGAACTCAACACCAAGGTTCCTTGTGCTTGTTACAAGCACGGACGTGGCTGCCAGACTAATTGAGGCATTTCTGGAGTCAGGGTGGTTGTGTGAACATCTTTAGTATCTATTGTGTGAGGATATTTCAGTTTTGGTTAATAAAAAAAACCCTAAAATCACAACCCTAGAAACACTGACATTGACACCCACGTAACGCACTGGATGTGAGCATGAGAGGAAGTGACCACTAAACTTTCTCTCACCAGCAGCATCTCTGTCTGTCGATGGCAGTTGTGGCAGTAGACAGGCCTTTAAGTGTTAGATAGAAGCTTTGCTTTGGCCTTTAAAGACTTTTTTTCTCTTTTACTTCAGATTTGGCGTTAAAAAGAAACCAATTTACATCAATGTGATTCGAGATCCTATAGAGCGACTCGTGTCTTATTATTACTTTCTGCGCTTTGGAGATGACTACAGACCAGGGCTGCGGAGGAGAAAACAGGGGGATAAAAAGGTAATGTGCACTTCCTGTATGTGTTGTTCTTAACAACCTTAATGTGATACATTTAAAAAATATCCTGACGAAAGCTAAATAATAGTTCTTGTATCAGCCTTGGCCGTGGTGGTGGCTTTGTGAGTTACATTCTCCCCTCCGTGTCCGTACCGGACCAGGGTTTAACACTAAGTGTATTCTTTGTAACCTTGTCAATTCACTTCACACTGCAATTTGTTAAAAAAACAACCAACCAAACATTTTAAAATGGTTTCGGGTATCCAGAGCTGTAAGGATCACGTTAAGCTCATCTTCCTATGTTAGAAATCTGCATCTCTTCTTGCTGAAGTCTGAGCTCCATTTCTCACCAAAAGCTGCAGAGCTGCTGATGCTTTGGCTTTGAAGTTTAGGGTTTTTTACAATTAGCAACCCAGTTTAGATTTTCCTTTTATTAAAATTAAAGATTTCCATGGAATTGTATAAAGAGTCTGCTTGAAAACTCTGGAGGATGAATCCCACGTCTCTGTACGCGCTCCATCTTCAGTGGCTGCAGGAGCAGCTCAGGTTAGCACGTTCAGACCTGGAGTACTAATACAGTTTCACAGCATCATTTGGGCTCCATAATTTATTTATTCCAGGAAGAATCCCAGAATCCCAGACCGTTAGGGATTGGAAGGGACCTCCAAAGCTCATCCAGTCCAATCCCCCTGCCGGAGCAGGAACACGCAGATGAGGTTACACAGGAAGGTGTCCAGGCGGGTTTTGAATGTCTGCAGAGAAGGAGACTCCACAACCTCTCTGGGCAGCCTGGGCCAGGGCTCTGTCACCCTCACTGAGAAGAAGTTTCTTCTCCAATTGAAGTGGAACCTCCTGTGTTCCAGTTTGTGTCCGTTACCCCTTGTCCTATCATTGTTTGTCACCGAGAAGAGCCTGGCTCCATCCTCGTGACACTCACCCTTTAAATATTTATAAACATGAATGAGGTCTCCCCTCAGTCTCCTCTTCTGCAAACTAAAGAGCCCCAGCTCCCTCAGCCGCTCCTCATAAGGGAGATGCTCCACTCCCTTGATCATCTTTGTAGCCCTACGCTGGACTCTCTCCAGCAGTTCCTGTCCTTCTTGAACTGAGGGGCCCAGAACTGGACGCAATATTCCAGATGTGGTCTCACCAGGGCAGAGTAGAGGGGGAGGAGAACCTCTCTCGACCTAATTGTTACACTTGTTGGGGACATGTTGTCTTAAATCAGGAAGAAAAGCAGGGCATTAAGTTTACAGTTGATAAAGCTGTAGTTAGAGCAGCGTGGAAGCTTTTCTAAAACATAAAGGAGTTTTGTGCTTCACAGAGGCAAACACTTTTTACCATTCCAGTGGCAATATTTTCTTAAACTGATGGGATTTTTCTGTCCTGTTGACAATTTGGTGTCGCGCTGCACGAATAACGAGAGACACTGAAACAACTGAGCAAAAAACACATTGAGCAGAGCTCGGTCTATAAACACCATGACAACTGACAAATGTGGCTAACCGTTCTGTGTGCTGCCCCCAGCAAACAGTGGTTTTTAAACACTGGGAACAGGCCCTTCCCCTTGTCTTCCCAGGGGATACCCAACTGCTCCTCTGTTACTGAGGGTTTGGCGCCACCTTCTGCTACTGCATTTCGGTTTATCCAGCCATCCTGCAGCTCAGCAGAACAAATTCACATTCAGCTCGACAAATGTTTCTGCAAAGAACTGGCCACAGAGGTTATTTGCTGATGGAGTACCATAAAGGCGTTTTTAATAAGAGATGTGGGGTCTCATCTTCTGTAACCTTCTCTGCTCCTCGTGACGGAGGAGCGTGATTTGGCCACTGGAATTCCTTCCAGGTAGAGATCAATGAGGTAGATGAGCACGCTGCCAAGTCCAGGCTGTTTATAGGACTTAATGCTTATTAAAGAGGGAGATCTAACAGTGTCGTGTTAGTTTTAAATTAAAACTCGAGCAGTGTTGTTAGGTAATCACTGTGATACCTTACGTCAAGATCCCTAAGGCTGCTGCGTGGTGGACTGCGCTGTACGCTCTGGTTTGCTGGAAGGAGTTGAAATGAGTTCCCGTTACTTTTGTAATGCATTAATCATTTATGGTTTTATATTAAGGATCTTTTTTTCCCACTTTGTTACTATCATACCACTTTATTTAGGTCTGAGACTTGGTTGTTGCCACACAGATTTAACTTGTCCCGTAAGCATCTCTGGGTCATTTGAAGTGCAGTTGATCTGATAAGCCAAGTTTGAGGGTTTCTTTCACTTAAAGCAGGCAATACTGTTTTTCCATGGTGTTTCCAAGAAAGCTGTTCATACACAGATGGTGTCAGTTTTCCACACTGACACAAAATTCAGTTAGCTCAGCAATAGATGGACCCAGTCGCAGTGTCTGTAACACTGGTGTCTCTTCTGATCTGTGTCACAGTAGCTTCACTAAGTAGGGAAGGTCAAAAATGCAGTTCTTCTAATGGAAGTTAGTTGTCCTTTGTTAAGTGGAAAGGACTTCACTTCACACCCTCGCCCGCTCCCAGTCCATACCAAAACATTTCTATGAAGAGTTCTTCATTCATTTTCTATCTATATCCATGTGCTTCCTAAATGATGATAGCTTGGCTTCAAGAGCAGGGTTTGTAAAGACGTGTTTCTTGTAGCGAAATCTCTGGATGGAGAAGTCAAGGTAAGTATGAGAGGAAGTGAGGGAGGAGACCTGTCCTATTTCATCTCACTTAGAGAAATTACTGACTTGCTCTTGTGTCTGAGCTGTAAAATAACCTGCAGGTATAAGCAAAGAAGTCTTTCTTCTGACAGATGCCACATTTAGTGAACACATCCATAAGTTAGGACTAGTTGGGATTACTTAGGACTGAAGTTAAACAGTTTAGTTCTGAGGTGATGTTGATGTTATAAAGCACCCGTGACAGATCAGTGCAGAATTTCTTCAGCAAACTACGCTAGAGAAATCACACCAATGTCTTGTTTCCTGGTTAAGCTGCATTTGTATCTGTGGTTTGGGACATGGACAAGCTATTCCAAACTCAGTGCAGTGTGGACCAAGACACCACAGGTTAATCCCTGCTTTGGCCTGGTGTCAGTGAGTTTTTCAGATTGTCTCGGGAATTTCACCTCAAAATAGAACTTACAATAATAATAACAGAACAGGTCATTAAGCAAATGTAATTTTACATAGCTGTTTTGAACAAAAACTTGTAATTATACAGAAGAAACAGTCTAAAAAGTTGCCTATGTGATCACTTATTTGTTATTAAATATATTTTTTAAAATTTATCCTAGGTACATGGCTTACATCTTGATTAGAAATAGCATAAATACTTTATGGTGACTGGGTAAAATAGTTACAGATTCTGTCCAAAGCTGACACAGTTCTTACTGTAGCTGTGTTACTGCAGTTCCAACCCTGTATTGCTGCAGCTGGCTGTCCACACAGCGATGTGTGGGACACTCTGTTCTGCAGTGAACAACCTTTTCTCCTGGTTGCCACAGAAAAATAACCTCTGAAACGGCAGTGATTTGTCATATTTAAAATGTAATAGCACATGATTTAATCTAAAACACAAAACGCAGAGTGCTCTACAGAATAAAGATCCAGTTCTGGACGGCATCTTACACTGCATCTTTAGTGACTTCTTTTGGAGGTGACACCTCCTGGTGTTGCTTGGCCTGACACACGGCCATCAGCGAGGTTACATCAAAGGTATCTCACGTGATCCAGGTAAAACCAAATTGTTCATTAATTCTAACCATAAAAGACTGTCCAAGTACTATTTTAATAGATCCTTCTATTAACACTGAGTGCAAGCATTGACAAAAGTCGCTTGTGCTCTCTGTTTTGACATCACATCGTGTGTTTTTCTGTCACCACCACATTTAGCGGCTATAACCAGGTTGCCATGTTTGATAAATGCACTGATTTTACAGCTCAGCTCACTCTTGTCTTTGTTCCAGACCTTTGATGAATGTGTGGCAGCTGGGGGTTCAGACTGCGCTCCTGAGAAACTTTGGCTTCAAATTCCCTTCTTCTGTGGCCACAGCTCCGAGTGCTGGTAGGGACATCAACGTGGTTTCAGTTGTCAGTCACGTATGGCAGTCCTGAAATCTGAACTTCACAGGTCTGAGTATGTAGCACAGTTAGGCAGAGCGTAAGGGACTGACAGAGTGAAGCAACAGGCCCTTCAGTACTAGATCTTCTGGAGATGTTTTAGTGAGGCAGTCCTGCAGCTCTCCAAACAAGCGCTATGTTAGGATACCGTGTCAGCAGTGCTGTAAGGGACAACAGATGTTTTCAGTTTTAAAAATCACTTCTGTAGAGCTGGACTCTGGACATTTTCCTCTCACGTCAGGCTCCAATATCCATCCTGAATGGAGATATTTTGTTCAAGCTCCCAGGGTTCCTGGGGATAACAAAATAATTGAGATCTGGATAAATTTATCTCCTTAAACCTTTACAAGACATCCAGCTGTCGATGCTACTTAGTAGAAACCAAACCAAGAGCAAGTGGTGTCCATCTGTCAGTGCAGATGTTTAAGAACAATGGCAGAGATTTAAAATAAACAAAACAAACCGAAAAAAGGGGTTATGGATAATTTGAAGCATTCTAAGGGAGATCAAGTGCAGGTATTTGTCAGGGGTACTGCTCATCCAAACAAGCGCAGTAAGTGGCCAACAGGGAGCTCCTCTTTCAGCGCCTGCTGGTCAGATCTGTGCACACCTGGGCCAGGTGGAGGAGCAGAGGAAGAACAAACTGAGCCTGTATTTTCACCCTGTCTAGGGCTGTGAAAAGAAGGAAGAAGTGTTGGTTTAATTTCTGTCTGCCGTTCAGTAGAGGAGTTCTCACTTTAACTGCATTGACTTTCTAGTTCAGAGTTCCGCTTGCAGGACGCAAAGGGGAGGGGTTGTTCTTGCCAGAACCGCTTCTGGTGTCTGACGTGAAGGTGAAGACCGAGTTTTGACATTGGGAGAATGTCAATCCTCCAGAAACTGCATTAATAGAGAGAGCACCCATGTACACACGTGGGTTTTTTGGTGGATGAGTTGTTAGTCAAAATAACTGGAGGAGTCTGATTTTTAGATAAGAGCAGAGATGATAGAAACCGGACAGGGCAATGAAGTTAGGGATGGCTGTAACTTGGCAGGAGTCTCAGCTTTCCTACACAAACGTCCTGCTAAAGTCATCGCCATCTACGACCGAGGGTTGTTGGCTAACGCCAGAACTTGTGTAACTGTTGTCTGTCGTTTTAGGAACGTGGGGAGCAGATGGGCTTTGGAGCAAGCCAAATACAATCTGATTAACGAATACTTCCTAGTGGGAGTTACAGAAGAGCTTGAAGACTTCATCATGTTATTGGAGGCAGCTTTGCCCCGCTTCTTCAGGGGTGCCACAGAACTGTACCGGACAGGTATCGACATGGTTGATTGCCATGGATTTCTCATCTTCTTACCACTTTTAATGTGAATTCTTTAGACCTAGACAAATAGCTTGGAGCCTGTGGCAGGTTTGCCTCTCAGTTGGCTGATGTTCATACAGAAGACGCAAACTCTTTAAAAGACTCCCAGTAGAAATTTTTGAGAGCAGCCCAAGTCTCTTCCTGCCTTACACAAACTGTAAATATGTAAGGTTGGAGTAAAGGCAGTTGTGTGGGTGTAGCGCGCTTAAAAAGTTGTGAAAGGTGTTTATCAGACCAGTTCGGGAAGGTCTTGCAGGGGCAGATTCCCATCTCCTCAGAAGCCCTGCTAATGAAATGACCTGTGCTCGGTGCAGCCTGGTTGGCTGTGCAAAGAGGCCCAAGGGATACAGAGCCCAAGTGCACTTCTACCTTCCTGGGGTCGTAATAAGACATTTGTTATCTAAGTATTTGTTATATTGCTCGCAGCTCGGTTTCTGGGAGCTTGCCATGCGTGTTGTGATGAAGAAAAGGTCGATCTTGGTGGGGTCTGCAGACAGAGGGAGAAGAGGGTCTGATGTGTCCTGTTACCAAGTTAATCGTAAAGCAACAGGGAGCACTTCTTGGGGAAAATGCTGTCATCTTTTGGTCGTCTTTGTCTCATGAAAAGTTTCTTGCTCAGCAGTTCATAAAATTTTTAACGTTTGATACCAGATTAACACCTAAATAATTAATTTGGAAAGGCCAGTCTTGCTCCAAGTACGTTATGTGGAGTAATCTCGTTCCTTAAATGAAGTGTTCATTGGCCGGGTTTATTAGAATAAGGAGAAAGAATTGAAGGAACTGATGCAAAATTCATTAACGTTTGGTGAGAGAGACTGCAATTTTCCAAGCCGGCATGTTCTGTTAATAAATTCTGGATTAAATTCTGTCACTTCTAATGCAGTTTATCAGCACGCTTAGAGTATAAAGCTCTGTAAGTGAAAGGACTGTAACGGTTTTTTAATTACGTGAAGTTCAAGTGAAATTATTGCTTTCATTTTGCATTTAGGAAAGAAGTCTCATCTTAGGAAAACAACAGAGAAAAAACTTCCCACAAAAGAAACTATTGCCAAGCTACAGCAGTCCGAGATCTGGAAAATGGAGAACGAGTTCTATGAGTTTGCACTGGAGCAGTTTCAGTTTGTCAGAGCACACGCGGTGCGGGAAAAGGATGGAGAGTTGTACATCCTGGCTCAGAACTTTTTCTATGAAAAGATCTACCCTAAATCAAACTAAGGGCACCGCACGGTCAGATTTACGGACCTGAACCTTTGGTCACATCATCATCTTAGTCCTCAGCCGTGGAAACTAGATCGTAGACCTCCAAGACGTTTCTTTCCAGAGCTGAGCGGAGTGGGCTGTGATCTCCTCCAGGGCGTTGGGTTCTGACTCTGTTGGTAATCCAGGAGCAAAGGCTTCATTTCTTTTATCTAACTAATATTTCAGTGGGATCTCCTTTACCCGAAGAAACCTACACTTTAATTCGGAGCAATTAATACACAGCAGTTCTAGTGAAAATATAAACACACGAAAAATGCTTCTGTTGATGCTCTTTTTAATTCTCAGAGCAATTTGTTTTCATTTATACTTCTGTGAAGAGGAAATCATTTTTCCCAGCTTTCAACATGAAAATTTCGGTTGTATGCAATATGAGTAGTGTTAATAACTGGTTGACATCTGTGCTTTGTTTTTGTGAACCATGTCACGTGGTATTAATTGGGATGTTCATCATCATCTGCTGAGAAACGCTGCTGCTGCTGAAATTGCCCATATTTATATATGTGGTTTTATTAAAAAATTACAACTAATCTTAAGTGTTAAAACATCATTTCCACATTAATATTGTAAAAAGTTTAAAAAATCAAAGCAGTGGGGGTTTGGTTTTGGTTTTTATCCCCCCACCGCCACTGACTGAGGTTGGGAAGAGTACGAAGCAAGTTGGTGTTGTCTGCAGGTCCCGTCGGTCCGCACGCAGTGGTTCAACAACCATCAAGTCAAATTCAGTTTCTCCGTGGATCCTTTGTAATAGCTGTAAACTGAGGTGTTGGTGACTCCATATTATGACTCCATTAGTGAGCTGTGGTATGGTTAGGGTTTTCCTACTGCGATACTTTTACCTGTAGAATATTTTTACTAAGGTGCTTTATAACGTGTTTTAAAGCATTGCATTTACAAAAGGCTGTAAATACTGCTTATTTTATGTATTTGGACCAAAAGGTTTAAAGGAACTAGTTTCACGTGGGGTTTTTGCACCAGTTCTGTTACGTGTCAAGTGAAAAACATCACCTCTGCCTCCTGGTCAACTGCTGGACAGTGCTGAGTGCACCTCAGTGACCTCTCTGACTTCAACACCAGGACGTTGTCCAGGGATCCTCTACAGAAACGCAGCCTTCATCCTTTCAGTGTGGGAAAACGTCCCGCGTGGTCTGGCTGAGAAAGACGCAGTGAGCTTGGCTGACGTTGCTGTCTGTCTGTAACTGCCTTATGCGACCGCTGTAGGTTGTGAGTTGCCGTTACTAACGATGTGAAACACCTGGTGGGTGAAGTAAACCCAAATCTGAGAATCTGGGGGCCACTGCATGATAGCAAATGGCTGTGGGGAGCTACAAGGATTTGTTTCCTATTGAATTTTCCTCGAGATCTGAGGATTTACACATCCTACACCTGCCTTTTCTTCAAGTGCTTTTCGCAGGGTTTGATGGGGGAAGGCACTGAGGGGACAAAGTCAGGAGCGGTGGCAAAGATTTAAACTCCTACGGGACGATGCTGAAGGCTTAGTTTAAAATTACCAAGCTTAACCAGCTTGTTCTTGTAATGGAAACAGAGGAAATGGAAAATGGTCTGTGGACTGGATGTCTGCAGCCAAAGGCAACAGCCCAGTTATGGAGAGGGCAATGAGAGACTATCAAGTGCATCTGCTTTTTCTCTGGTTTCTTGGATTTTTCCCTTTGAATTTTAAAAATAGACCTCTCTTTGTTCTTCCCAAATAATCAGGGAATTTCCTTCTGATACCCTACCATTTACATAGGGTAAAGCGTACATCAGATTTCCTGCTCTAGTTCTTGTCTGTTGACGTCGTTATTAAGGCCGGTGTGTTTGGGAATGGGACGTGTTCGTTCACACATGGAGTTTCCAGGCGAAAGAAAGGAATGAGGAGTCATGCACAAGAAGCAGTGAATGGAGATCTAGACATTTCCATAACAAAGCAGTAACTTTTTTGAAGTACAACGAGTATTTGTAACCGCAGGGCAGGTTATCCACTCAGTGCCACTTTCATGTTGGTTCTTGTTTTGATGGTGTTGTTTTCCTTCAGAATAATTCGGGTCCGTTTACCTTCCTGAGTCTCCTTCGGAACGGTCAGAAGAGTGCCCCTGAGAGAGCCAAGAGTTTACCAAGGGAAAACACAGAGTATTCATCTTGGTAATGAAGTAGGTATGAGAGAAATGTTCTTTATTAGCAAGAGAAAAACAGGCAAAACTTCCACTGATTTCAGAAGGGTCCTCAGAGCCCTCTTCTGTTCTGTAAGCGGTTTTAAAAGTCACACTTCTTTTTTTGTTGTTTTTTCCTTCCAGGACTTAGAATATCTTCATTATGAGTCTTCAGTGACAGAAAGAATAGAACAATGCCTTTATTTTTTTCACTTTTAAAAGAGCAATATATTTTTCATAGTTCATATAAGAGAACACGTTTTATTTGATCAGGTACCACTTCCCGTTCTGTGCTGTGAATGACAGGGTTGAGGCAAACAAGGATTTTAGGGATTTTATTTTAAATGCCAGCTGCAGTTGGAGAGGTGCTCGTTCCTGATGAGCCTGAAATGTCTGTGGGACACAGAGGAATCAAGACTTCTATGTCTGTTGCAGCCATGAAGTCAACTGTGAGCTTCCTAGAACCTTTTTAATTCAGAACTATCAACCTTGGGTTTCCTGAAGGACAGCTTAGGACAATGAGCTTTGCAGGTGTTTTTAATAACCTACTCTATTTATCTTCTGTTCAGAAATGGAACAATCCACGTTGTTGGTATTTGAATTACTTTCCAGTGTATAATCAGAATGTATCTGGTGCGTTTTCCCCGTGCTGACTGACAGTGAGAAGCGGCAATACCTGGGTTTTGTCCTTGCAGGTTGTGTGATCAGTAAACTCACCATGCAGCCTCCCAACACCAGTCTTCTACCTGAGCTCACTGCAGTCTCTGCACAGAGGCAAGACTGGCTTTTTGCAGGGCTAAGTTCCTCTGAAAGGTGCTGAAATGCTCACACAGGGATGGTTGAGAGCAGGCTTTGTTACCGTTGTGCTTTCTGCGCAACATTAACACCCAGAGGCTGTGCAAAACCGCAGCCCTGCTGCAACTCCTGATGGCGGTGGCCCCAGGTCCTGCTGCGCTGGTACCTGCACAGCCATGGCCACAGCTCGCCTGGAGCTCCAGGGGTGCCCTGGGCAGCGCTGACAGGAGAGCAGCAGGGTCCTTCCAGTGACAGCTGCAGCCAGCAACGAGAACTTCACTCGTGTTTGTTAGTGCTCCCATAAGCAGACACAGGGCACGTTCCCGCTTGCTCTGGGTTGGTTTTCAAGCAGTCTCTCTATGAATGCTGCACTGATCATGGCTTCGTTTTCACGCAGACATGAAAATCTGTAGCTCTAGAGTATGGCAGAGGAAGATCCTGGCTCTTTGAAATGCCTTTTCTGGGTACTTGTTTTTCTGAAGATACTTTGCTACTTCTACTTTCCAGGAATCAACAGTTGCTTATTTACGGTCTCAGAGCAGTTCTACTTTGTATCAGGGAAAACTCGGTTATTTTCTGTTCTAATCCTGTCAGGATTTTCCATCAAGTTTAGCTGGCGTTGCTCAAGGTGTGTATGACAGGAAGGTGTTACATGGATGGTGCTGTCTGCTGACGCAGTCAGTGGAAAAGCCCGAGCCAAGTGCACTGCCAATTCAGCTCTTCAAATCGAGAGCGTGTGGTATGGCCACTAGAGATTAAACCTAAGGAAACGGTGAGGCTGCTCAGTTGCGTGGATGCTTCCTCTCCTGCAAGCCTATGCAACTGTGTAACCTGTGCAGCAGTATTTCCAGAAAGGGCCCTCTATCCGAGACGTTTCTGGAGCGTAATTATAAATGTTCATACACTTGCACTGTCTGATCTTTACATCAGCAGCTTCTGTTAAAAGAGACAGGTTTGTGAGCATTTCTAAAGCAGTACTGAATGTAATTTTGAAAAACATGGATTGTGCTTCACGACGTTTTTCTTTTCAAAGACACACACACTGAATAGTGCCTTTTTTCCTCACAATCCGTGTTGACGACGCTCGCTCCCACTCGCCCTCCGTAACCTGATTCGTTTGTGCAATACGATTCCAACTTGAAACCATTTTGTCACGGCTGTTTGAGAAATAACCTCCATTTTTCCTTACTATGCTGCCAGCTTTCTGTTGTTGAAGTGTTTCAGTTGATTACCTAATGCAAATGCTATAAAATAAAACACCCAGTGGGAAAGGGAAAGAAAAGAAGTCTGGTGTCCTGTCTTCATGTTGCACGTCACGTTCACGTGAGATGCTCTTTGTCTGGAAGATGTTGTTAGGATCATGAACTGCACTTGTGGCTATAGGGAGTTTGGAGGGGAGGGGAAGCAGGAGCGTAGCTCCTCTGTAATCATTTCATGTGGCTATAACCAAATATGTTTATAGGCCATTAGAATTTGCATGGGGCTTTCTGGCCAGAAACGTAATATTAAGAACTTTTCATTGATATCCTCAGCAAATTTGTTACGACTGAGATTTGTGAGAATAGAAAATGGCATTGAAACAACGCATTAATTCGTCCGTATTTCTCTACCTGAGGGAACGAATGACCCGACCAGTTACTGTGGCACTGGAGACGCTCGGTTCCTGCAGTGGTGAGTACGGTGCAAGAGCTCCAGGAGAACAGAAAAGTCATTTGTATTTGTAAGCAAGCACTTAAACCAAGAGAACAGAGTGAGCGTGGGCAGGGCTGGGCAGGGCTCCTGACCGTGCTGTACCCACTGCTCAGTGGCTGCTGCCCCAGCCAGTTCCTTCATGCCATAGCTCCTAAATATTCAGATGTCAGCCTTGATGGGAAGAACCATCGTGCGGTTACTCAGCAGCTGCCACTGGAGGATTTCGATGACTTTTAAATGCCCCTTTCGTTGGAAGTGGACTTTGCCTTCTGTCAGTGGGAGGGATGGGTGCAATTGTGCACAGGAACCAAAGTCTGATACCTAATACAGGGGAAGTGAGGACAGAATTGCCTGGATAAAGGTACAGGACTTCCTAAGGCTGCTGCACCTCTTTCCGAAACGATGTAGTAACCAAAACCTCAGCCAAAAGAAGTGACAATACAAACAATGTTTCATTCAAAATGACGGCAGCCTCTCCTGTGAAGGACAGTAACTGCAGTGTTACACGTGTCTTGGTGCTGGTTGACCTGCTCTTGGTTTAATTGATGCTGCCATTTGCACAGGTAATTGATGGATCAGTTGGAGCTCACGGGAGGGCAGCGAGCGAAGGGAAAGGGCTTTTTTGTTCAAAGCTAGAGGGTTTTTTTGGGTCCTGTGTTTTCATTTTATTTATGGTTTGAATCTTGCATTTGATTTTAGTATAATTTCCTCACTTCTTAATAAAATACAAGAATTGCTAGTGCATGTCAAGGCAATGTCCAGATGTTTTCTTCAAGCACGAGTCCCCTGCTATGACCTCCCCCCGGCTTCACTGCCACATAACGCAGATGTGGTAACTTTCAATAAGAGCTCATTTAAAGGACTAATAATACTCTTTATTAAAAAAACCCGCCACAAAG